ATGAATGAATAATGAAAATGTAGTATGCTTACACAATTAAATATTATTGGGTAAAATAGATAGAAACACTTATTCAGAGTAAGGTGACCCACATCCAAAACACAAATGTTTTCTTTCAATTGTGGCTGTTAGCATACTGATTCTTTCTTCAGATTGACAACTGGAATTATATAAAACTGTCCCCATCCCCCAGGATTGTTCTCAGAGTTTCTGGTTCATCTCTTCCATTCCCTTTTCTTTGCTTGGTCTTTTTCTTTTGGTGAAGTAGCCACAGCAATGTGTTCTGGGAACTAGACGTTCCTGGCCTTGTGAAACTGGCCTTGTGAGCTCTCAATAGTAGGTGAGAAATAGACAGTGTGACTCCTTTAAGAAGGGAAGCAATGTGGTCTGTGGCTAGTGTACTTTGGATGACCTGTGGTTGAAGTGGGAGAGATAGTGAGGTGTGTGAGACAGGCTAAAGTCACCTGAATTTAAAACAGAGTGTCAGCTCAGAAATCATCTAACAAGAACTTAAGACTTTATTTCTGACAGATCCCCATAATAAACAAAACAGTTGTCTTTTAAACACTTAGAAAAATAGCCTTATTTCTTAGAGGAAGTGACTAATAGTATTTGTCAGAATCATTGTACCAGGCATCATTGCGCCAGAATAGCTACTTTCTTTTTAAGTAGGATTGCCACTGTAATAGATTGAGTAGCATCAAAGATAGGTTTATCTTGATCACAGTGCAGTATTTGTGGGATGGAAAACCACCTTGTCTTAGTTAGAGTTTATATTGCTCTAACAAAACACCATAACCAAAAAGCAAGTTGGGGAGAGAAGGGTTTATTTGACTTATACTGCAGCATTATTTAAAACTGGAGGAAGTCAGGGCAAGAACTCAAACAGGGCAAGATCCCAGAGGCAGGACCTGATGCAGAGTCCATGGAGGGGTGCTGCTTACCGGCTTGCTCCTCATGGTTTGCTCAGCCCATCTTATAGAACCAAGCACCAGTAGCTGAGGCTTGGCACCACCTACCATGGGCTGGGCCCTTCCCTACTGATCACTTAATGATAAAATGTCTTACAACTGGGGCTTCTTCCTCTGATAACTATCTGTGTCAAGGTGACACACAAAACCAGCCAGTACACTCCTATTATAGCCTATTGGGAATAATGAAGTATGTACTAGATGGGAACATCCTAGTAGGAAAAAAGCGCTCAAGGAATAGTGAATAGCCCGGGTAGTTAGAAGTGTGGTCTAGAATATGGCCAGAAAGTTCTGTGTTTGCAGTTGTGGGCTGCATTGTCCAAAAAAAAAAATTGTTCTGCTAATGGAGTTAAGACATAGCAAATGGACTTATTCAGCATGGAAGGGTGAAAAAACTGACAAAAGAAAATCCTGTCCCATTCAGAGTACTACTTTTTAAAGACTGAATGGTGAACTGCAGTTAAAGAGAAACACATGAAGCCCCTAAGTGAATTTGCAGAAGTGTACTACAAGCATAGTGAAGAATTTAATGTTCATGATTAGAAAACAATCATAAACTTGTCAAATGCTGACATTATCAGTTAGTAATAACACATTTACAGTAGAATGTGGCTACTTTCTGCCAAATTGTATAACAGTACAGCCTTTGAAGCCAGATCCTCTGGTATAGACTCAGAACCAATGCCTCAGACGCCCTCACTTTGACTAGGGTTATGGGTTTTGGGTAAATGCAGTGTTTTCTTTTCCATTAGAATTAAAGATCTAAGCTGCACTTCATAGGGCTATGGTTATGCTAAATAAGGCATGGGTGAAACATTTTTGAGAACATAGTCTTTTGGGTCACATAAAGAAGACCTCTGTGTAAATAAAACTGGCCATGAATAATAAGCAAAAGTTTGCTCAGAATTTTCGCAAGGACATTAGAAAAGTCTGGTGACTGTTAGCAGAAGGCTGTGTGGAAAGATAGGTATAAAAGACTGTTAGACCCACTGTTAAATGTGAGGCTGAGAGAGATTGAAAATCTGTTGCATCCAACAGTATAGTTTCCCATCTGAGACATTTAAGATACAAATGGGACCAGTCTAGGTAACTTAGAAAAGGAAAACCCTTTGATTTGAATAGAATGTTAAGAATTGTCAGTTTGCCGACTATACAGGAAGGGATGGACATTATCCATGTCTTTTGCTATTGCAGCTGGATTGGTAGCTTCTTAAAGAAGTTCCTAACAGGAATTACTTAGATAATTTTAGTTAATAGACTACTGAATGAGCAATTGATACATACATATGATTAACATTTTTAAAATTGTGTGTGTGTGTGTGTGTGTGTGCGTGCGGGCGTGCGTGCGTGCGTGCGTGTGTACATGCATGCTTAAGTATTATGCTATCTGTACACAGGTGCTCAGAGGCCAGTTGAGCGCACAGAATTCCCTGAAATTGGAATTACAGGCAGTTATGAGCCACCAAATGTGGATTCTGGGAGCAAAACTCTAGTCTCCCAGAGGAACAGAAAATGCTTTTTACAGCTGAGCCATCCCTCTGGTTCTTCAAGAGATAAACTTTTGTTACCTGGTTATTATTATTTCAGCTTAGATATGGCCTATACAGAGAAAATGGGGGCAGTGAATTGAGAGGAAGAGAAGTTTAGAATCTCGTTTGAAACATGGATTCTCTTTGCAAGTATAAGGCCCTGAGTTCCCAGAAGCTTTATAAAAAACCTAGATGTGGTAATACACACGCATGCAGACACGTGCACACATACAGTGGATTTACTGAAAGACTTCGCGTTATGCAGTGGATGCTGCATTTATGGAACTTGATTAATTAAACTTCTTTGAGAGTCCCCAAGACAGTGATAAACAAGCAATGCCCTCAAAACCAGAAATGACCATACTTTTCTGAGTAGCCGAAAAGCCTTAATGCTAACTGGAGAGACTATTTTGGGGCTTTTGGTTTACACTCTATTTCTTAAGAGCCACAAAAATACATCAGCTCACACACATACCCTGCTAATTTCCTCCTTGCAGCCTAAAGTGCTTTCTCTTCCCAGCACCTCATTGGTTTGCTGTGCTTATTCAGGTCACAAGGGGACTGGGGCAGGCAGGCGTGGGATCATGTGCTCCATTCAGGACAATTTTTCCATCTTCAGATTTTCCATTTCCCTGTAGACAGTCTAGTTTCTTCTCTGCCAGGGCTCCCCTATCCATTAGGCAGTGTGGTTCACTGCTGGGGCCCATTTGGGCACAAACCAGACCTTTTGTTGAGTTACTGTACTCCCCCCTAACTAATTATAGAATTCAAAGCAGAATGAGTGAATTAATAACGTGTATTTATGCCCTGCAGTGCTTGGAGAAGTGTAATGCTGCCGCATGCTTACCGTAGCGCATGAGCTCTCCCTTCAACCTTTGTCCTCCGTTATTGCTCTGTGACTTCACAGCAGCCAGAATGGAAGGTGCACTTTACTCACCAGCGAGTAAATCGTGTGAATGGATGTTTTAAGGCTCCTGCCCAACACACTGTACAATGAGAGAACTATACTTTCAAAAGCTCACAGAAAACACATGCTTGGACTCTGAAATTGTACTAAGTATCCTGCTTCCTCAGGTACCCTTAACCAAAGGAGAGTTCTTAGACAGGAGATGGCCATTAAAAGTGTGCCCTTGCATTTAATTTCCCTAATCAAAAAGTTAGTGTTGATTGTGGAGCCCTTCTGTGTAGGAAAACACTGTAAGTATTAGAACCAAAGGAGAACCACAATATAGGAACTAATTTCCTTTCCTTAATAACAGAGAGGATTTCAATCTATTTGGACTGGATGTTGTGACCATGAGGCCTTCTGCCAGTCTGTATTTTCAAGACCATACATGTTAATGTGGATTGGACAATGGACTTTTCAGAACTGCACTATTAAAATTTGTTGGTTGGGTAAACTTGAGGAGTTTACTCCAAATTTTTTTAAATATTAAGGTTTTCAGAAAAAAAAAATCCATCTGTCAGAATTCAGGCAAACATAAGCAAAAGGTGAGAGAAGTAACTTTCTCAAGTGTGGGTGCTTTACTTTGGAGAAGCAATAAAATGAAATACAGAAGTTATAAAAATGTGTCAGAAATGTTTATATTAAAAATAAAATGTAGTGTGTAAGCTGAAAGTACATCTCTCCAAAAGTTAAATGTTAAGAACTTTTATCACATAGTGTCATTAAATACTTTGTGTCTTCTTCCCTTAAATTCTGTGTAAATTATCAAGTAGGCAGAGTAGGAAATTGAATGGACAGTGATCCTACTTGTCTACTACTAGGGAATCAATGATTGTCAATAAAAATTAATTTGTTGTCATTTTAAAAAGCAAAGGAAAACTTTTAAAGATTAAATCATTTCCTACAGAACTGTTTGTTTTTAGGTCACAGGTGTATCCTGAGATGGGATTCATGTTAGGCTATATTTTTTTCCAGAATATATGATGTCCATGTATCTACAGTTTAATCAACTATTTCATTTTCTCTTTTACTTTATTTTGTGTTTGCTTGAAAATAGGATCTCACACTGTACCTCTGGCAAGCTTTGAATTTCTTTTACCAGTCCTGCTACCTCAGCCTTTTGACATACCATAACCAGCTAATGAAACCTGGAACTTGCTGTATATGTATTCAAATATTGGATGCATTTTGTAACAAAATGAACAACTTTGTCTTCTAAAGTCTTATCATATTTGTTTAAGACATTTAAAATTTTAGATATTAAAATAAAATTCCTACACTGAAAAATTAATAGTACACAAATTAAAATTCACATTGAGAAGTGGATTTAAATATTCTGCCCATTATTTCTAACTTCATTTATTTTTTATCCAAAAAAAAAAAAAAGTGAAGACGGTGTGAACTAATTGGTTTCAGGTTTTACTGTTATTCTACAGATGTAAATGTGACAATTGTACCTCACATCTGTATAACAATAGATGTTCTAGAGACTCTAAACAAATTATATATTCATTCCATGATTGTTAACTATTTTTAACAATGATTAATTTTCAGCCATCGATCTTATCAATAACTTGCTGCAAGTGAAAATGAGAAAGCGCTACAGTGTGGATAAAACCTTGAGTCACCCTTGGCTACAGGTAAAGGTCACCAGTGGATTTTCTTACTTGGATGTGCTTCTAATTATTTATTAGATTTTGATTTTAGCTGTAGAAATCTTTTGTCATGCTTGTGCAGGTATAATTATCCTGACATTTTTTTTCAAAAATGCATGTGATTTCTTGAGATTTAATTACATTTTAGTGTTTCTAAATCTCTCTCTTTGTATCAGAGAAATTTGATGAAGATACACACGTGTACACAACACATGTAGAATTGCTCCTGCTGCCCCACCCCCAATAATAATAATACCAAGGTTATAGTAGAATTCAGAAGACCAGATTTGGAAAGTATCAGTATGCTTAATCCTGATAATTGTTAAAATAGGTGCCTATCTACCCATGCCATCTTCTCATTTAGAAGCTATATTTCAAGTCTCGGGATAATATACATCAATATAAATACAGAGTAGATGCAAAGTGTATGGGTGTGTCTTCTGTGTTCTCTAACATATTTGTTGTTTCCATATTGAGCTTTAATGTTTACAAAATGATACTCTGAAATACCAAAAGAGTACTTATTGCCATTAAATTGCAAAGCAATGTCAACATTCCTAACTGCTTGACTACAAGCATTAATTATGCTCACTTGGAGCCACGGATCCTGGGCTCAGTACGCATGCTCTAAGGTTAATAGGGTGCTCCTCGTGCTGGTGCTGCCTAAGAATGCATGGTGAATGGAGCGGCACTGTTCGAACAGAAAGGAAAGGTCACCTGTGAAAACACAGGGAAAGCATGTGGAATTTCAGTGATCTCTGTGGTGATACTTTGGAATTTCTTCTTCAGGACTATCAGACCTGGTTAGATTTACGAGAGCTGGAATGCAAGATTGGAGAACGCTATATTACCCACGAAAGTGATGACTCAAGGTGGGAACAGTATGCCAGTGAGCAGGGGCTGCAGTACCCAGCACACCTGATCAATCTGAGCGCTAGCCACAGCGACAGTCCTGAGGCTGAAGAGAGAGAGATGAAAGCCCTCAGTGAGCGTGTCAGCATCCTCTGACTCCATCCTTTCTAATCTGTCAAAACACTGTGGAATTAATAAATACATACGGTCAGGTTTAACATTTGCCTTGCAGAACTGCCATTATTTTCTGTCAGATGAGAACAAAGCTGTTAAACTGTTAGCACTGTTGATGTATCTGAGTTGCCAAGACAAATCAACAGAAGCATTTGTATTTTGTGTGACCAACTGTGTTGTATTAACAAAAGTTCCCAGAAACACTAAACTTGTTATTGTGGATGATTTATGTTATATTTAATACATTAAGCCTGTCTCCATTGTGCCTTTGCAAATCAGTGTTTTTCCTACAACAGCCTCTTTTTGGTAAGAGGCAGCACCTATCCATGACATCATTGTGTTTGGTGTGCCCCATCGATGGTGGTGTTATAAGCAAACTCTTGAGGAGTAGATAATTTGCTGGTGTTCTGTGAACAACTCAAAATGCATGGGGGGCGGGGGGGTTGAAAGATGGCAAGAGGCATATTAAGTCCTAAGATTGAGTTGCATGAAGACATCTTTACTGTATGGTTTCAAATGCTCTGGCTGTTTGGTGTGCCTCAGTGTATGTAAAATCCAGTAAGTGCCCCTCAATAAGTGGAACCATTGCTCCAAGCCTAAATGCCTTAGAATGGAAACTGCTATACATACCAGATGCATTTCTTCCTTTCTTACAATACCAGCTGTGTTACAGAAAACCAGCAACTCAGCAAACATTGGCCTTTTGTGTATTTTTTCAATAATAAGAAATAAATATTCTTCTCAAAATCAGTGTCAATCAAATTATTTTTACCTAGAGTCCACATCTTGTTTTCAGAACACTGAAGGACAGAAGTATCTGCCCAAATAGCAGGAAAAAACAAGTCATGTCTGGCATTTAGCCTGTGTACATTAAAGCGTAGAGAAACATTTCTTTTTAATTTTATATCATTATTTATTCTTATTGTATGAATGTTTGGCCTTGGGTGTATGTCTGTTCTCCACACATGTGTGCCTGGTTCCTGTGAAGCTATATCAGAAGAGGGTATCAGATACTTAAAACAATAGGTACAGGTGGCTATGAGCTACTTGAGGGTGTTGGGACTTGTGAACCATTGTGTAGATGTTGGGGATTGAACCGGGTCCTCTGCTAGAGTAGTTAGTGCTCTTTACTGCTTAGCCATCTCTCCAGCTTATAGAACAGCATTTATTTGTTTGTTTGTTTGTTTATTTATTTATTTATTTTGCTTGCCACCTAACATAGTTAGAATTGCATCGGGAGGACCAGGCTACAGAAACACACAGAGACAGCTGACCTAAACAAGGAGGAACTAATGGGTCCCCAGACTGATAGCTGGGAAACCAGCATTGGATGGACTCAGACCCCCTGAACATGGGTCTCAGTTAGAAGGCCTGGGCAGTATAAGGGACCTCAGAAAGTGAAACCAGGATGTATCCCTGATGCACAAAAGGACTCTGGGAGCACATTCCACATGGAGGGATTCTCCCTTAACCTAGAGACATGCGGGGGAGGGGGGTCTAATCCCTACTCCAGATGACTTGACAGATTTTGTTGAACCCTCCAGGAAGACATTACCCTCCCTGTGAAGTGGGGGGAGATGGGATGAAAGGGTGGTTGGGGAGCATGAGAGGGTGGGAAAGATGGAGGGAGGGAGAGGGAACTGGGATCGATATGAAAAATAAGGGGAAAAAAAGAAAAAAAAGAATGACTTCAAGAGAAAAGTGAATGGAGCCAAACAGGACCTCGGAGGCAGAAGTGGACATATTGCAGTCTCAATGTCATTATCTGACAGATCATAAACCAGAAACGTATTTGAAGACTGGCTCAGGTTTATTTTCATGTGATTAAGGAAGGTGGTTTTGAAATAGACTACAAAAACTGAAGAAAAAATATATAAGAACATCCACTCAAGCAATATTATACAGGCTAGAGAGGAGAAAAGTAACAATGTGCCAGCCAGACTTACAGGTGCACAAGTTGGGCAGTGTAGGGTGTTTTCCTTCCAGGGAGATGACAGTGGCATAGTGTATGACAGAAAAAAAAATACATGTAATTAATGCTTCAAAGAATAAGTGTTAAGAGGCACTTGAATAAATCAGGGTGTTAAGACTGGACATTGTTAATTTAGTGGAATACAGCAAGAATATTCTATCTCTATTTTATTACTGAATTTTGAACAAATATGTCTGGAAAATTTAGTTTCTAAATCTGCTTTAGGGATATGTTAGGATTGTGTGTGTGTGTGTGTGTTGTGTGTGTGTGTGTGCATATGTGCACTCATGTCCTAGTGACAGCATAAAGAAACATATGGATGTGTTATTTGACAGACTAGTAGTACAGGTTAACAAAGGACAATGGGTATTGTAGGAATATGAACATCACCTTTTCTATGACAAAACATTACTAAGCAAAAATCAAGAAGGGGGAAAAGGGTGAAAGTATATAAACACCTCAGTTTTTAAATAATATACACTAGAGAATCATAATTTAAAATATAATGATTTACATTAAATATATATATCTACCTTTTATAAGGTACAATATAAAATCCTTCCATTGACTTCTTTTTTCTGGGAAATTAAGATGGCTATAATGTTAATAACTGTGACAGTATGTTTCACTTACCATAAAAGATCCTTGAGTGTTTGAATCTTGATTGGGAAGGGGAACCTAGTGTAAACTATAAAACTACAGAGAAGCACATGACTCCTACAGCAAATATTTACTGAATTTCTCTTCTATGCTGTGCTTTGCTATATGTATGAATTTTGGAGGTGAATAAGGGATTCCTCTTCAGACAGGATTTCTGACTATTAAATGGTAACAAAGAAATTGGTGATGCCTTTAGAAAATCGTAGATAAAGCCTTTAGCTTGGAGGAATGAAAGTGATGGGGTGATGTTGAGTATGGCTTGAGAAACCAGTACGTATCTTTCTTTTCTACTTGCAATTCTACAAGGCTGCACATAAAAAGCATGGCAGAGGATAGGAAGATTAAAAAGAATACTTTCACAGTCATGGAAGTATAGCACTGAGAACTGGGGAGTTAATCCAGTGCATCTAGAAGAGATGTGGCATGATCTGGATTGAGAAGCTCTTCTATACTGTTTTAAGGCATCCAAATTTGTATTATTTTAATCTCAGAAAATCATCCACACTTCAAATAGAAAAAGTTAGCACCATCAACAAGCTCACCCTGCCAGCAGCACTAAGACTGGGTTAGCAGTGAGGCAAAGTGAAGGACCTTAAGACCAACTATCTTTTCATTAGTGAGCTAGTGAGAGCTCACCAAGGCCATAGTAAATGAGAAGATGGGAAAGAGTTCCATGTAAGAGATGCTGAGAGGTGGTATCAGTGGTCTTTGTTAGTGCTCATATATGAAATTTAAGAGCTCAGAATGAATCTTTGGTTTGGGCTTGGGTGACTATTGAAGTATTAAAAAGAGAATGTAGCTCAGTTGGTTCAATGGTTGCCGAGTATACGTAAAGCATTGGATTTGATCCTAAGCATCACAGGGAAATCAGAACTTGGTGATACATACATGTAATCCAAACACTGGAAGATGAGGCAGGAGGATCAAAAGTTCAGGTCATTCTTGCCAACCATCTTCCTATCTGGAAACCAGTGATGCTATATAGCCTATTTTTGTAAATCAGCATTCATTACTGTCAGTAAATTAATTCATACTTTTAAAACAATGTATATTATGATATCAATAGGAGCAGGTCATATATGCTTATATGCTGAGAAACCAAACACTAGAAAGAAAGAGATCATTGGGAAGGCAAAGGCTACAAAGCACACCCCTAGTGGCACACATCTGCCAATAAGGTCAGACCACCCAATCCTTATGAAACAGTTCTACCAATTAAGGACCAAACATTCAAATATGTGAACCAATTAGTGCCATTCTCATTCAAATCACCACTTGCATTGGCCTGCATAGGCTCATGGCCATATAATCCAAAATTCACTTAATCCAACTTCAAATGTCTCTCCATAGTCTAAAACAGTCTTGGGACTGTTTAAAAGTCCAAAGTCTCTTCTGAGTCTAAAGGCAATTTCTTTTTTATTATTATTATTAATTTTTTTTTACATTCCAATCCCAGTCCCTCCTCTCCTCCTGCTCCTCCTACGTTCCCTCCACCCTACCTCCCATCTGCTTCTCAGAGAAGGTAAGCTTTCCCCTAGGAAGTCTACTAAGTCTGTCCCATCATCTCATTGAGGCAGGACCAAGGCTCTACACCCCCATTCCACCATTTGTCTAGGCTGAGCAAGGTGTCTCCATACAAAATGGCTTCCACTAAGTCAGTTTGCACATTAGCGGTAGATCTTGTACCTGCTGCCAGTGGCCTCATATATTGTCCCAGCCACACCTACAAGCTATTAATTACTTAATTGTAATCCTCTGTAAAAGCAAATGTGAAACTATAAACTTTCAACATAAAATGGCAAAGAATATACATTACCATTCTGGAATGAAAGAAAGAGGATGTAATGAGAAAACAAAGGCAAATGCAAAAGCAAAAACCAGCAGTTCAAGCTCTACATCTGGTATCAAAGGTCATTGATGGTCCTTTGTAACTCCCACTCCTTCCTGCATGGCTGACTTCAGCACACTTCTCTCTCTTGGCATAGTGCCTGTATGCATCATGCTCTGGTAGACATCCCATGACAATGCTATCTCTTATATCTTGGGGTCTCCCAAACATGCAAGGCCTCATGTATTCAGGCATCTGTTCTGATCTGTCCCTGGGGTTCTGACAAGACATGCTTTCAGCTGCAGCCACTAAGAGCACCACTAGTTCACATACACTAAGCTTCCTTGTAAAAGGGCCCTGCCAAAACCTTCTCTCTCTCTCTCTCTCTCTCTCTCTCTCTCTCTCTCTCTCTCTCTCTCTCTCTCTCTCTCTCTGTGTGTGTGTGTGTGTGTGTGTGTTTCTATGCCTGTCTCTCTGTCCATTCTCCTTTCTCCCCCTCTCTGCCTCTTCTTTTCTGATGTTCCTGTCCCCTCTCCCCTCCCCACTTTTCCCATTCACTTTCTCCCAATAAATAAACACCTCCACTCAAGTTCTGTTGGGTGGTGTCTTTCTCTTGGGTGCCACTTTTAAAAATTGCAGCATACCCTGGTGGTCTAATGGTTAGGATTCAGAACTCTCATCACTGTGGCCCAGGTTGGATTGCCAGTCACGGAACCAAAGTTGTAATTTTAAAAAGCTGCCCACCTCTCATTATCATCTTATGCTGGAACCAAATCTTTACCTAATGGGCCTTGGAGTATAAGTATCCAAACCAC